CGGGGACAACCCCGCCCTGAGCGGCGGTGGCGGGCGGGGAGCCCCGCTGGGCGGCACCTCGGCGGCTCCGGGGCGATGCTCTGCACGCTCCGCCCGCCGCCCCGCCGACAACCGGAGCAGGGCTGCAGCCCGCCCGCCCCGCTGCCCGTCCGCCCCGCAAACGCGCGCCGCCCGCCGCCCCCGCGCACCGACAAACTTTAACGCCGACAAGTGCCGGGGACCGCTGCCGGCTCCCGCCCGCTTCGCTCCGAGCAGAGCCCGAGCATCTCCAGCAACTTTCTCGAGGGACGCCACCCCCGCCCGTCCGCGGCCCCCCATGCCGCCGCCGAGGGAGCCCCAGCGCGTCCTGGCGCCGCGGCGGCTCCGCGTCGAGGCGAGGGCGACCCGCGCGGTGAGTACCGCCCGTCGCAGCACCGCGCGGCGCGAAGCGACGGGACGGGACGGACGGACGTTTCGGGACGGGGAAGCGGCACGGGGCCGTGAAACGGGGTGGCCCCTCGCCCCGGCGGGGCCGTAGGGAGGATCGGCGCGGGCCGGGCGCCCCCTGCCGCCCGCGCGGCGCGGAACGCGGAGGAGGCCGGCGGGGCGGGGCGGGGCCGGGCGGTACCTGCGCGGCGCTCCTCTATGCCTCCTCCCGCAGCGGAACTCCGTCCGCGCCGCGCCGCGCAGCGCCGGGTTTTGTAGGGCGCGGCTCGGGCTGAGCGCGCAGGGAGGGGAACTGCCTGCCGGCCCTCCGCCCCTCCGCGGGATCTTTCCTGCGCGGGGAGCGAGGAAGACTGAAAGTAAAATTTGACAAAAGGAAGGCGGCAGGGAGAGTTATTGCGCCGGCCGAGGAGCGGTACTCATCCTGGAAGTTAAGAGCAATTTTTCTAACAGTTCTCAAAAAATTATTTAAAGAAACCCCAAATGACGGTGAGCAGCATAGATGAGCTAAATCTGATAAAGCAGATGCTTTTGTACTCTCAGAGTTGGTCTGTGCACATCTCTGACCTCTTACCGAATATACTTTTATCGCTCTGCAATCAACTTTTCAATATTGTGGATGTGAGCAGCCAGGAGCCAGCCTCACTTTTGCTGGCAGAGCCGGGGGGCAAAGATGCCGGTGTGGATGCTTTCATCGAGAGAATAAATCAGCACCTCACCTAAGGACAATGTGATTTGGAATGGGAATAGGTGGCCTGGGCAACCCATCAAAAGGAGAAAAAGCCCGGCAGAACTTTCCCCAGTTCGGTTTTTGGTGGGTTTGATGTTTTTTGGATTTGGATAAAAATAAAGGTCGATTTCCGGCATCTTTTCGGAGCCTTGCAGGATGTTCACCAGAGAGCTGCCAGCAATTAGCAGCAATGTTCTAGTAGACCCGTGGACTTTGCCACCCGCTCCCAAGCCCTTGACACCGCTAAGAAGCGACACCAACTTTCTAGCTACATATGTAAGATCTAGTATAGCACAGAATAAAGTCAGGGACTGCCAGCCTCCTGGGTTTGTTCCTCCGTGGCATTAAGAGCTTAGGATTCCATCAGGCAGGAAAGTCATCAGCTCACACTGGCAATGGGAGACTTGGCAGCTCTGTGCCCACATCCTGCTGCTTAAGAGCACCTGGTACCTGGCTGGATAAAAAGTAACAACCCAAAGCGCAGCCACCCCAAATGCTCGCTGTAGTTCTGCAAGGAAAAATGTGCAGAATGAGCTGACTTTAAGTACAGAGATACTTAAGGCAATAAGCCTTAAAAGTTATAAGAGGAAAACCTTAAAGCAGCTACACGCAAAGGCTTTAAAATTTAAATCGGGAGTGCTTGTGCTCCTTATACTGAGTGCTGATGATACCCTGCAAGCAACAGCAGCAGTGCAGCTAAGTGACACTCAGCAAAGAGCAATGTGGGACAACCAAGAGCAGTTTCAATACAGTGCCAAAACCCAGCTCTGGTAGCAGAACTCTGTATTTTGTTCTCCTCATTCAATAGTTATTGGTACTTTAAATTTCTCCTGAGACAAAGAAATCTTTTTCTGCCAGATAGTTGAATAAGCCAGATAAAAATAGGAGAGAAACTTTGTTTGAGCAGTGTGCAAGTCCACAGACACTATAGGAATCATTTGGAGTATATTTCTTTTTATCCAGGTGTGGTGATAAGGATACAGTGAATTACTAAGCATAGGTTCCCTTTTGCCTTGCATAGATAAATAATTCTGCACTGAGAAAAGGGGCTGAGTTTATTATGTTTAATACTGGAGCTTTATAGGTACTAGGCACTCGCATTTCCTATGTGCGGCAAGGTAAAACTGCTCTGCTTCTATTAAACACTGTGACTTGTAGGTACAAGGATTAGTGCTGTTAGGTAGTACACACTATTTTCTAAATCCTGAACTAGCTTGAAGTAACTAACAATCAGAGTGGGCTCAAAGAATCTTTTTGCTTGGGCTTCGTTAGATACGTTCCTCTACTGAAGCCGCAGCAAACTTCCTGCAGGGATACAAGCTGGTAGAAATGCCAAGTTTTTCCTTTGGAAAAAAGAATCTTCAGACTCCTGCATTGTCAGCCAGCATCTCCTGCATCCAGGAAGGATTTTAACCCACTTACCTCACAGTGGCATGCTTTGTAATAACTGAGTTTGGCTCTTGCTCTCGCATAGTGGCAGTGCACATTTTATTGAATACTTGGGCTTTTTGAGAAGCCATTCTGTTATTTTATTGCATTCTTCACGTACCACTGTACATGAGAATTGAAGAACCAGGAAGTACCCTGCAACATCTGCACAGCAACTTTTCAGCAGAGACGTGCTGCAGGAGAGGGGCTGCTGAGCTTCCAGCTGGTGTCTTTGTGCGGAGAGGATTATTTGGGGCCACTAATGGATTTTCTGCAATGGAAGGAGGCAGGGGAGGTGCGTTTGCTAGCAGCCCCTGACAAGAGCTCAAGTTCTTCACCAGCACTACTCTTGTGAAGATGCAGTTCATCGGGGGTGTGGAGAAGGGGGCATCTGCTCAGGCTGCAAAACTGAAATGCTGTGGGAGGCTTGAGTGGCAGCCTCACCCACCTGGGAAGAGGGTGCACAGGCACCTTCACAGCTAATTTTAGACTGAGGTCAGCCGTTTGCCTTCCTTCAGCGTGGGATGCAGTGGATCTGCACATCGCTGCTGCTTAAATGTCCTCCTCTTTACCTACAGAGAGGTGCTCTGGGGGAAGGCAGACAGAGGAAATGGGGTTTGTACCCAGATGCCTGGGGCAGCTGTTTTTGTTTGTTTTTTGTTTGTTTGTTTTTTTGTTTTGTTTTGTTTTGGTTTTGATTGTAGAGACTATGGTGCAAAAACTCAAGGCCCTAAATTCTCAGCTGTTCACCCTCCCGATGCCCCACAGGGCTCCCTCCAGAAGCGCTGTGCCCCTGAGGTTGGAATGCGGTAGCTGTTCTGCAGCAAGCCGCTGCCTTGCCCTCTGCCAACACTTGTGTCAGCCCCGTGGGCCCCTGCACTGTGCTGGCAGACAGGGAACTGCAGGTGCAGAAGGTCGAGCTGCCATATACTGGTTATTCCTGATTTGTTTGATTGCTTCCTGTGAGGTTGAATGTATACCTATTACTTGAGAGGGGTTGTAAAAACTCTTGCTTTGTTACCCGAGCTAGAGGCTTAGTGCTACAAGGCTGGTGCACTTAAAAAAGTAAGAACTGTTATTCTATTTGTTTTTTACAAAACAATTCAGTTGTTTTTAGAACTTGCTGATATGTGGAATGCATACATTCCTGCAGTGACTCTGCAGGAATAAATATAAGTAAGACAAACTGTATAGCTCTGTTAGAAAAATCTGTATAACGCTTAGCATATGATCCTTAATGTGCTTTGGTCAATATCTTTCTCTGTATCAATGGAAGCTCATTAAAAGAAGATATTGCAGACTAACTGAGCCATTTTGTATTAGTTCTTGCCAAAGCTTGACATTTTTAATATATTAATAATATGTCTGTAATGTAATGGAAAACTATTAATCAGGACTGGTTATATGCCAGAATTTTAAGCTATAATTGGCCGCTTCTTGTCAGGGAGGTCTGTTATACAGTTCTACATCTGTCTAATACTCAGATGTCTTGCACTCCTCTGCACTTTTTTCTTGTCAGTGCACTAAATTCGATCGATGTTATAGTCTATAATTCTGTGTAACGACCATCATTATGACTCTGGCTTACTTTAATGAGAATTCGTTATATGGGAAGTATTTTAGAACAGCATGTTAAGGTAGCGGCTTGCTTCCCATTATTTCAGTTCTATCCAGTCCTCTTTATTTGTAAATCTGCATCTCAGCAGTTATGAAAGGTTATTGGTAAGTGAAGGGCTAGAAAGGAAAATATTAAAGAAAACAAATATATTTTTTCTTAATATACAAGCTTGTAGACTAAGGATAATTAAATCTTGTAATTTCTTGTTTCTAAACAGAAACATGATATTCACCAACCGTTCATTCCAGCTATGATCAAGTCTTCTCCAATACAGAGTATGTTTTGATTCGTCAAAATAAAACTGAAATTACTTGTAGGTTTTGAGTTATGTCAAGGGACTCTCTCTCTTTGCTCTGCTTTTTTTTTTTTTTAATTTTTTTTTTCCAACACAGCAGTTGTTTCATTTCTGTATAATGACTCTGCTAAACTATGGGACTTCTTAGAGTTTTTTTGCTCCTGAAAAATAAGCTAGAAAGGACTAGAGAGGAAGAATATGAAGTTGTCTTGAGTGTCTTTGAAAGAACGTGGGGAACGTTCTTTGAATTAGTGAAATCCAAGATGATAAATAAATATTGCCACTGGAGAGAACAAACAAACAAAAAGCAACATAAGGTTGCTATTAAAGCTATGGTACTAAACCATGTGACTTTTAAAAAGATCTAATTTTAATTTAGTCTTAGATATTTCTTCTTTTGCATCAAAATCAGATTTGAGGCTCAAATATACTTGATCTAGTTGAGAATTGTCATGGTATGAAATTTCAGATATTCTCTTCATAATCTGATAAAATACACGGGAGTTGTGTAGTAACATTTGATAAGATGAATATAATGGAAAATTGCATTTACGTCCATACGGCAATTATTGTAAATTACTTTGCTATGGAAACACAATTCAACCATCTGTTGGCATTTCATGCTGTCTGTGGTTTAGCTCAGTTTAAGATGAAGCATTATTTAAATGTAGGGAGGCCATTTGTGAATAGCTTTGAAGATAACTGATAACTTCTGAAAATGTGTTACCAAAACAACACACTCAAGAGCTCACCAAGTCACAGGCCACTTTATGTGGCTTTTGGGTAAATGAAGTTCATGGCACAGAGCATAATCTAAACTTTGGAATAAGCGAAGTGGGCAATAGAATATGATAACTTACGGTTGCTGATGTCTTGTGAAGGTTTTGCTTAGATTTTGTCATCCAGACAAAAAAGATGCAGAAGTGCTATAGTGACTGTATAAAATCCTCCTCTTGCAGCGTCTGCTTCTTCTGCCGCTGAAGCCAGCTCTTGAGCTCCTGTCCTTGGCTGGCACGGATTGGCAACAGGCACAGGCTGAAAGAGATGAGTTGGAGTTTGCAGTCTCGTTTTTGCCTGTCCATGTTTAGAGAACTTAATCCATCTTTGCAGTTTCCCCCACATGTTGTTTGTATTTTTACCAAATACAAATGTTAAGTCGTTGTAATAACACCATGGGTTTTTCTGTGTGTAATAATAAGACTGAAGTGAAATAAACAGAGGGAATTTCCAATTGCTCTTTCAAGGGGAGGAAAGGGATGTAGCTGCTGTGAAATAAACATGTTTGCCATGAAAATAACATTGAGTATACAGGTAACACCACCCCCAAAGCTAGGAAAATACAACATCCAGACTGGAAGGGGAAAGCATAGTAAATGACAACCTATTATCCCTATTAGTAATTTATAAGCATGATCAGCAAAATGCTGTTAAAGAAAAGAAAAAAGAAAGAGTAAAGTTCTAACAATGCCAAAGAGAAATTTTCAAGGAAATAGAAGCGTGCTTCCAGGATCTTTGTTAGTCTTCCAAAAAGGAATGTAAGAAATGTGCGAGACTTTTGGAGCTCACTGAGGTCCTCTTGCCAAAAGACTATTGGCACCTGGTAGCCCTGATACTCATCTCTTTAATAAGAGAGCCTTCCTGTTATTCTGCCGCAGTGTTTGGTTCCCTTCTCCCCCACCTGACTGGTTAGAAAACACTAGCAATGTTTAAGTTCTGCAGTTTGCTCTGTGGGCAATGCTAGGCTGAAGATGCAGATTTGGAAGCAGAAACACGTAATTCACCTGCAACATTATAAATCTGTCTTTCTCAGAGCAAAGTTCAATCCTTCATGTCAAAAATACTTTTCACTTTGAATGATTTTGGTAGTTTGTCCGTTGTAGCACAGCACCCACAGTAAAGGTTATCCATATTATAACAATTTGCTTTATACTGCATCAAAACCTTCAAAACGTCAACACATAATGTTTTGTAACTCATTGATTCTTGGACAATAACTCTAACTCTTATTGTTTCTAAAAGGGTGCTGGTGCCAGAAGAAAAGAATGATTGACGGGAAACAGACATCAGCCTGTAGACTCTCACCCCTTTGCTTCAGATACCGATTTATCAGTGCATCTGGGCATCCCCTGTGAGCCGTGAACACGGAGGATCACTCAGGGTTATCGACAGTGTAGCTGAAGACCCACAACTTCACAAATTATTATCTACTGTTGGACATCTTTTGCAAGAAGCCCTGACAAATAAGTTATAAGACAAAGGACACGCTCTACATTGTTGTGAAAGGCCGTCACTGGGGTCTGTGTGGCTTCTACCAAAGTCTTCAACTTAGTAAAACAAACGCTGTATCCTAATGCCTCACATTTGAATTGGAACCTATTTTATAAAATATATACATGCATATGTACATATATCTATAATCTATAGACTGAACGTACGTCAATACTGAGCATCTTTACGAAGGTGACCTAAAAGGATTTAGAGATGTATTTGTCAAGATTTCTGTCACTTCACGCCCTCTGGGTCACTGTATCTTCTGTGATGCAGCATTATCCTTCCGTGTGGGGACATTATGACGTGTGTAAGACCCAAATTTACACAGAAGAAGGAAAAGTATGGGATTACATGGCCTGCCAGCCAGAAGCCAGAGACATGATCAAATACGTAAGAGTGACTCTGGATCCCCCAGATATAACATGTGGAGATCCTCCTGAGACTTTCTGTGCAATGGTAAGGCAAGCTTTTCACTTTCATAACAAGCAGAAACATACTTGTGCTAAATGGCTGCAAAATTGATGTCCTGTAGTACACATATAAATATCCAGGAAAATATGCTATGTGTTCTGAATGTGCTGGTAAACAAAATGCCCAGCAGTACATTAAGCTGGACAATGCAATATTCTGCCTATTGGGATCTAGCCTAACTTGACTTTTTCTGAATTCGGTGTCTCTTTAGGTCAACTTTTAATGAGTTAAAAGACAGCGATGTAGAACTTCTAGTGTGCTAACCCCCAACCAGGCACAGTTACCTGGATCATGAAAGACTTACGTGATTCTAATATGATCACCTGAAAGCATCACAGTCCTGTACAGTTCAGCATAATTTCCAAAGACAATACACTTATTCACATAAGAGGTAAATAATCGTACAGGTATCAGAAACATACATGTATATAATATATATATAGACACACACACAGAAACACTTATATGTATTAATAAAGCACTGGAAATTTATAGTACATTACCTAGATAATTTAGATTTGAAAAAACAATGAGTTCTGGTAGGTGAGCTTATCATAGCTGGGAATAGTCCACAAGCCATTTGTTTGCCTGTGTACAAATCATCATAGCTGTGTGACAGAATCCCCACAGGAAGGAAATTTGCTTTTAAACACCTTATGGTATCATTTGCAACCACTACTGCTCTGTAAGGAGTTCAGGTCCAACCACACATACATTTAGGACATTATGTGCGTGCATACAGCTGCTTCCCACGTACATTATGGTAATAGCCACGTGATAAATTGCAGAGCTACGTGAATAAATTACATTCACTGTGAACCTTTGACTGCACCACTTGCTCTCTGCCTGCTAGTCCATCTCTGCTGACACAGCTTTGACACTCTAAACGTCCAAGTAACTTTTAGCAACCACTGTTTAAAAGCAATGTACCCTGTATAGTATTTTCTTTTTGTTTTCTTTTTTTTTTTTCCCAAGCTGTGATGTGTATTTTCTCCCTGAAAAACTGAAATGATGAAATTGAGTCCTCAGTCAGTGACATTTAGTAACTCTAGTATGTAGTAAATTAGAAAACTTGTTTTTCTGAGGCAGTCCCACTGCTCACTTCATCCTTTTAGTATAGATAAACTTTGCAGCAGTTCCCATACTGAGTGATTATTTTAGATTTCTGAATGCCTTGACTATCACTTGACTCTTTAGTTGGAACAAAGATGATTAAAAATACTAAAACAATATTTTGATGAAGTACTAAATATAGTGCCAGAACTCCCCTGTAAACATTGGATCTAGGAAACCCTTTGCTGCAAAAATGGGATGAAGGTTTGTTTGGGAATCACCTAAGATGACAGATGGAACACCATTGTTTTGTAAGATCCAGAAGGCTGACAAAATCCTAACAAAAGGAACAGAAAAAAAGAGGAAGAACTGGAATGGGGGAAGGGGGCTAGGGGAAGAAAGAGAGAGTCCACAATGAAATAATGTATTTAGTTATGTGAGTTTAGAAGGACTGACTGCTACATGGTAAATGGTTATATGTGCTTTGAGTATGGATGTATACTGAACTCTGCATGCATGTATGCATAGGTAATGGCCTGGCTTACTTGAAACATTATGAAAGTGACAGAAATAGTTAATGTTCTTGAGGTATTATCCAGCAGCAAGGCACTCCCTTCCCTAAAAAAATGCTTCATGTCCATCTGTACTATGTCTATTTATACATCATTCAAAACAAGGTTTTACATATTTGTAGGGTTGAGCCTTGGCATTTCCTAATGAGCAGATCTTTTATTTTTGTGTTCATTTTTATTTTTAGGAAAATGAGTTAAGAAAACAGCACTGTCATACTATGAGGAAGTGGGCAGTGGAAAAAGTGTGCATTTCTGTTAGGCGTGCTCTTGTACTTAAAGCAAATCCTGAATTTGAAATGGCAGAGATTTAAACGTTTCTTTCCAGCATAGCAAAATGCTGAACAAACTTATAAAAATGTATGGTTTTACTGCTGTGAATATTGGATATTAGCGTACTAAATCTGTGTAGCCGTTTTTTGTTATTCAAATCAGGTTAATGCTCAACTGCCTTCTCTTTATTCCTTGGAGATAAGGGTCCTTTCAGATATTCTCAAAAAAGCAATGATACCAAAAAGCCAAGCCTACTTTCTGCTGGAGCAGAAAGAAGTTGAATCAATCTTCTGTTTTATTGCCATATCCATTCTCCATTCAGCCTAAATTTTCTGTTCACCACAAATTACACTGACTAAGGAACTATCTGTTGAGCCCATGTCAATTATGGCATGGTATAGATAAGATCACTAAACAACAGCCGGACTGAGAGATCTCATCTAACTCCTTTTGAAAGATCACAATAAAATGAAAGCAAGTGGGGAGAGTGTCACGGTGAGAGTCTGCAACAGTGTACAATGTAATCATATGCTGCAATGCATGCAACCATGTAACAAAGAAGTATTTTTTGTCTCCGCAATGGAAGGGGACATGAGAGGAATGGGCTCTGGATTCCGATCGGGATCTAAGTATCAGCAAAGCCTGATACTTAGTTAAAAGTCAGACTGGGCTATACTGGAATGGGTTGCCCCAGCAGAACCCACATCTCTGGTAGGGGCCTGGCAGCATATTTTTAAGGACACATTTTTTAGAAGGCTGCCAGTGGGACTAAGGCATCAAACATAGAAAACAAGATGGGTAGTTAATAGTAAAATTAGCCTCATATGTATTTCTGCATATTTCCCATGCAATTAAGTGGTCTTAGGAGTGCATTATGTTTGATTTTTTTCATTCAGTGCTTAGCTGATAGACCAAATAACAAGTTTTGGCACATGCAGATTTGTTACAAAATGCAAGCACACTCGTCTAGTTGGTAGCAAATGCCAGCATGCGGCCGCTCATTCTTCTTAAGCACCTTTGGGACATCCCTCCAGGACAGCCATCTGTAGGTATTCTAGGGAGCAGGCAGCAGGAAAACTATCCCACAATTGCTTTTATGCAATCTGTTCTGAGAATAACATTATAGTTTCTGGTGACATTCAGTATTGACAACTCATGAGATTATTCTGAAACCTCAAACCCCTGGAGTCCTATGATAATGAGAGATTCTCTGCTTTCATTTAAAATACCGTCTTCATTGTCATAGTCCTTCTGGTGGCAAAGAGAAGCTTGAAAATGAAACTGGGAAGCTCAAAAAGCAACACAGCCCACAGAATTATTCATTATTTAAAATTTCATCATTTTTAAAGTCAGAGAAGATTTTTAGGGCTTGGGAAAGGATTTTGCTTGAGAAGAGAGGCATGAAAAAAATGATAAAGAAATAAATGGCTTAGAGCAGTTAGCACTTGCCGTTTCTGGCCTCAAAGTTGTGTCTGTAAGGAGGAGGTGACAGCATCCTTCCCAGAGGGGTAATACTCCTTCCCTGCAGAAAGGGCTGACTGGTAACTCCTGTCTACCCTGTACATTTTAAAGCAGTATCTAGCGTCCTGAGAGTGAGGCATGTATGGTGGCAGCTGACACGTTTGCTTTCAGTGGCATTTCTGCAAGGATACTTGACTGTCATTTGTCAGCCACAGTGCTGGATGATCATGGCATTTGGGGTAGTGTGGCCATTGTTTCTATAATTCATGAATTTTGAGCATTTAACATCAGTAACAGTGTGTCTGGCACAGAGCAGTGAGATTCAGTTGGCCTGGGAGAAAAGAGAGAGAAGAAGAGAGAAGAGAAAGGAATGACTTCCTGTTCTCAAAATTCACTTTGCAAAGCAAAATTTTAACTACCTGAAGGTGCTAGTTCTCATGGCACTGCAGCATTTCAATTTACAAAACTTACCTGCTTTGAATCTCCAGGAATAAATAACAGTTGGTGAAATCCTTTAGCTCCTTAATTGTAAACACTTATTAAAATTTCACAAAATTCAGTACTTACAAAAAGAAGCAAATGTTATCTTTTCCATGACCACAACTATCTTTCTTCCTACAAAAATACTGTATATTTGCATCTGAATTCTTTCTTTTAAAAAAATTCGTTAGCTCTAGTGACTGCCAGGAGCCACCTAGAGTGAAGAGCATGATCAGGAGTGAGAGCCCCAAACTGAGCATCCTTTTCCACAGCAAGCTCCCACACTCCTGCTGCATGCTGTCAATGGCATTTGCGGGTGCTTTGACCCCAGGGTCAATAGGCACAGCAGGAGCTGTAGCGTGGCTCTGGGAGCTCAGCAGCTGCCTGCTGCCTCTTCAAGGGGCTATCTTCCTTTGCTGAAATCTAACTTTTGTCACCGACTTTGCTTTCTATTTGCCAGTCTTAGTCATGCAAATTCTTCACAAACCTAACCAGGAGACTCCTAGTGGCAATAGCTGCAATTTGCAAACTGCAAGTGGATCTTTTTTCATGAGCTGTCATTTTCAGCTGAAATGGCAACACAAGAATACACTTTTCTGCTTATGTTTAGGTCGTAACTAGCAATCACAGCACAATCCAACATCCCAACAGCTCAAAAAATGATGACATTATCTGCAATTATCTATTGCCTATAGCCAACTTTCTTCATAGGTTAAACAAACTTGGAAAGAAGCCTACAGACAGAAGTCATGTGCGTTTGTACAGTTTAAAGAGCAGAAGTGCTGATGATAGAAGAAATTTGAGCCCTTGAGTGCTACTCTGTATTTCACAGCCAATCAAAACTAAATTAAGAAACAAAGATTATTAAAAGTCTCCTGTACATGTAATTCTGGTATGATATGAGCTGGACTTTACATTTTTCCCTTTGAGACTTTCAACATCATTAATATAGCATTTCTTTAATTACAAGTAGGCTCATATTCTTTGAAAAAGGGAAAATACTCTTGAATAGTTAATGATACCGTTATTATGTTTACAGAAATAATTAAGTGAGCAGATACTCTTTTGAGCAACATATAAATCAAAATGTTCAATAAAAATGTATTTTTGGAAACATTCTGGCATGCATGCATTCTTGGGTAGGATATT